GCGTGGTTGACTCTTAACTTTTATAAAGAATATCTCTTTGGATTTGAGACTTTAGTCTTTGCAACTTTACAGATCTTCTTTATGCACCAAGAGCTTGTAACACTCCAAAGAGAAAGGAAAAATTGAAATCGCATCATATGACCCCTTTAAGTACTGTAACGAAGTATTATTACTTCGTTACAATACACCACTGCAAGCAAATATATGAGCATTATCCATTCCCTATATGTCAGAGAATTAGAATGAAGGAACTCACATCTGGCTCTTTATTGAGGATCTCAGCAGCTTCGTCATACTCTGGCTTCATCTTCTTACAGTGGCCACACCCTAAAAACCATCACAATTAAGAAAATTAGAATGTGATTAATTTTAACATCACAAACCTGAAAAAAAAGTAAAAAAATTTAAAAAGAGAAAAAGTGTGAAAATGTTTTTACAAAATGTTTACAGTAGTGCTTTGAAGTTGATGTGCACTTAAAATGATAATGAAATCTGATCAGCTCACAATCACCAGATTTGATAATATTACTAATTATGAGAATAATTGTGATATCTTGAGCTTCTTGTGTCAAATCAAATCAGCATATTAATAATAACAGTAATGGCTGCTGAAAATTCAGCTTTGCCATCACAGGAATAAATTATGTTTTAAAATATATTAAAATACAAAACAGTTATTTTAAATTGTAATAATATTTCCCAATTATGTTTTACTGTATTTTAAATAAAATGCATGCAGCTGCGGTGAACATAAAAACTTGAAAAACATTTTTTTTTTTAATCTTTCCAAACCCAAACTTTTGAATGGTAGTTCATATACATCACAAAACATTTGGAAAACCCTGCTAGCCAAAGGTGGTTTAATGGCTGGCCTGGTTTGACAGTTTTAAAGAGGTTTTGGGTACTTGAACTGCTAAACACTAACTTGACCAGGTTGAGAGGTCAACAAGACTAGCCAAACCAGCATAAAACAGCAAACCATCTATGTCGGTTTAAGTTTTTTTTTTCAATAGGGTTATGCATAATTGACATAGCACAAAAACAACCACTCGATATCCATAAAAGACTACAACATGTCAATCATAATCACAAACAGCACTCATCTGGAAAGAAATTATACTTCCTCTAAAGAGATCCCTTTCCAATTCCCCACCTGTTACATAATCATAAAAGCCTTTCCAGTAATCATAAGCCAGAACTCACTTAGTCAAGCCTGGGTTTAATATGTATTTATTTACACTATGGGAATATGAACAAATCACGTCACTGATTCATAAATGGTTTGCATTTTTGTTAAGAACTGTGTACAAGAGTTTATTATTATTATTAAGTAACTCAAAATCAGGTCACATGAAATTGCACACTGGGGGCTTTCCAGTAATCATAAGCCAGAACTCACTTAGTCAAGCCTGGGTTTAATATGTATTTATTTACACTATGGGAATATGAACAAATCACGTCACTGATTCATAAATGGTTTGCATTTTTGTTAAGAACTGTGTACGGGCGAGCGGGGCGAGCATCAGCATGCATTTTGTCTAGTTAATCTGATGCAAGCAAAGCATCTTTTTTTTTTTTTTGACAAACTCAAGAGTGTGCATTGAGAGGCCTAGCCGATGTTGTCATTGGCATTATAATAGCTGAGTGCATGTGAAGCGATGTTTGTGTGTGAACAAGGATATTGCATTTGACCTTGTTGATGAGAATGTAAACAAGTCATCCGGTTCCTTGACAGTGTATTAATGTGGAGAGAGAGTATGTGCACATATGCTCAGTGGTGGGTTGGTAGGATACACCCTGTGCAATACAGGAAATGAATATGATCTATCAGAGGTGTTTGATCAAAAATGTATGAAAGCTGAGAGCCATCTTCCTTCAAACACTAAAAAAAGCAACCTCCCAAGAAATTGAAATACTACTAACATACTCGTATCAGCAAATCGGTGTCAGGTAGAAACATTTGAGAATACAATTGATAGACAAAAACATGTCATTGGCATTATAATAGCTGAGTGCATGTGAAGCGATGTTTGTGTGTGAACAAGGATATTGCATTTGACCTTGTTGATGAGAATGTAAACAAGTCATCCGGTTCCTTGACAGTGTATTAATGTGGAGAGAGAGTATGTATGTGCACATATGCTCAGTGGTGGGTTGGTAGGATACACCCTGTGCAATACAGGAAATGAATATGTTCTATCAGAGGTGTTTGATCAAAAATGTATGAAAGCTGAGAGCCATCTTCCTTCAAACACTAAAAAAAGCAACCTCCCAAGAAATTGAAATACTACTAACATACTCGTATCAGCAAATCGGTGTCAGGTAGAAACATTTGAGAATACAATTGATAGACAAAAACATCAAGAGCACACAAGTGCAATTCAAACAACATAAAGAGAAGCTTTTTTTGTCTATCTCTGACCTATTCAGTGGTTAAAATTAGACTTCACTAAAAAACAAAAATACAGGTATTAAGGTCATTGGAGTACCATGTATAAACCATTGTACAGTATATGCATATTTGACAGTAGGCTATATGGATCATTGAGGACCATGGTATACTGTATATGAATGTACATTCATATATAGTATACCATGGTACTTCAGTATACTCCAGTGTACTTCAAAGACTACAACTAGTTCTGCCTTAATACGAGTGCAAAGAATAATAATTGTTATCATAATAACATGTCCAAAACATAATCGTAATATAGCGATTTTGACAACTGGCTTGTCAAGCAAACATAATCTTTACAATTAAAGTTCACCTGAAAATGAAAATTATGTCATCATTTACTCACCCTCATGTCAATCCAAACCTGCAGAACTTTCTCTCTTCTGTGGAACTCAAAAGGTAGAAGGTAACAAAGTTTAAACTGTCCATATAAAGAAAGTCAATGGAGTCCAAATCTACAGTGGATGTCATTGACTTTAACTGTATGGACAAAAAAGGTTTTGCATCCCACAGAATAAATAAAAGTCACGACATGAGGGTAACATAATTTTCTAACCCTTTGACTACCTTTAAATTTAAAAGCCATTCAAGCCCTAAGTCCTGCAAGAGCAGTGTTGTTGATACTCACAGGGAGCGTAGAACATGACCAGGGCTGAAGGATGCTCCTCCAGAAATGTGTCAAAAGACTCATCGGTCAGATGGAAGACCGCCGAGCCGGACTCAGACCAGGGCACCTCTGGAGTTTTAGGCTGTGGCGGCTGGGGGCTGTGCAACGTATTAAACAAGTAGTTAAAAACATTTCCATTAGTCAAAATGTTTTTGTTGTTTCAAAGCCAGAACTTCATGACTCAAAACCCTCCAAATGACTAATGTGAGACACCTAAGCTCTAAGTTGGACACTGCCAATTCACATCTCACAACTCATTTCAGCTCTACATCTGGTGAGGAACGGTCACACCCGCATGACTAAAGAGAGCTAGTCTGAGCTCGCAATTCACATCTGTCTTCCTCACGGGCCCTGTTCCCATATAAGTGTGGCCCAAATGATTCCTTCGTAGAGTGGATAGAACCAAGAGCTTATCTCCTAGAAGTGCGTGAGCTGAACAAAGACCAGCCAGAGGCAACTTTGCCAGGGATAAACACTGGCAAACACAAGCATTCAGTGGGTAAAGTGCATCAGTAAATGTTCTCACATTCAAACTCTCACTATCTTCATTCAAAATTGATTCTACAAGACAATCCAGGCATACATCTGCAAGCGCTTTGAGAGCAGGAGGTCACAATTTTAAGTCTCTTAACATGCACTTGTACTGGTCAATCAGCTGCAGCTGTCATATAGTTTATGAAATCGCAATAATGATTTCTGTCTCACAAAATATGGACCACCCACAGTTCCTTCATTGACCGTCTTGTACAAAAATGGCGAGAGCTGATTAAATAACTAGTTCCAAACTAACTGGTTAGCAACTTTAAGGAGTCATGGATGAAATTTTTTTTATCAGTCCCCCTAAAAGTGATCATAATTTAACAAAATCTTTGAAACAATACTGTTTAAAAGTTTAGAGTCAGCAAGATTTGTTCATGAAAGAAGTTTTTATGCTCACCCAGACTGCATTTATTTGATCAAAAATAGAAACAGTAGTAAAAACAGAAAGAAACTAGTAGAAACCAGTAAAAACAGTAATATTGTGAAATATTATTAAAATTAAACTGCAAGCAGCAATTAAGGGGCCAAGCACAAGAGGCAATGAGGAGCTAAGCAACCACGACAGGAAGCATCAGACGAGTTGAAAGAATTAGTAATTAAAGACAATTTTTGATGATTTTAAGCGAAATAGTTGAAAATCTAAAAATACAATCACTTGTAATGTGACATAATTGCTTATCATTTTTGACCAATAGGTGGCGCTGCCAGCAAATGATAATGACACACATAGAGCTTGGTGTCAATATGCCAAAGAGTTGCAGAAATACAGACTCTGATCCAGATCGGCATCATGCCATCAAATTTGACAATGAGTTACACGAAACTGGTCTTAGATAAAAAAATTTTAAAAAAAAACTTTTTGATCCTAAACATTTGAATTGTGGTGCATTTTTCGATACATAGAGTAAACTAGATATTCTCGAACAGAACTGCGTGTTCCACTTTGTTGCCTAACCTCACTTTTTAGACAGATAGATCCAGCAGTCATTAAATATAAATAATCTATAAATATTTCTACTTTTGTCTTTTTTTATTTTATTTTTTATAAAATAAAATAAAATTTTATTTTTTTTATTTTATCTTTCTACTTCGCAAAACAAAACATTTTTAACAGTGGTTTCATTTCAAACTCAGATTTACCTGCCCTTAAACAACATGAAAATACAAACCAAGCTGTGACTGTGGCTGGTCTTGTGACATATGATCAAACAGTCTCTTCCAGTCTAAGTGGGAAGTTATTGACCAGAATAAGTGGACCAAACTTTATGCCAATAAAAAGGTTTCTCATACTACTCACAAACTACTAATGTGTCATGCCAAAGCACATAACTTAACAATACAAACACTGCTCAGGACACAGTGTTTGTTAATCCGGTCTAGTTCATCTAGTCTGGTTTCACAGCATCAGCAATGCCACTGAAGTTATTTCTCTTAATGTTGCTAGGCAAAATATTGTGCCGCTGTATGACTGGAAGATTCATGCACTCCATAAATGACATGCTGCATTGCATGCACAGCTCTAGTGAAGTTAATCTCTGACATGTGTAGACGTGCTGTAGACTGTAGTACATTTTGTTAACTTTGTCACTTTGATAGTTGGTTAAGACACTGCAGAGATTTTAAAGCCTCATCACATCTCTTTTAGGAGGCACAGAGGAGTGTTTACATCCAGTGTTTTACAGTGGGCATCATATCTTTCACACCACAGTTCCTGTAAAACACTCCCTGGGTAATGTTAGAGACCGCGGGCAGAAGTCGAAGATGTCACACCTCTTACAAACACAGTGATTCTTTACAGCTTTTAAAATAGTAAAGGGCGTAAGAATAAATAAAGAGAGGTTTGTATGTCTAGAGTTGAAATAAAGTTTACTCACTTTTTCAACCAATCAGTGATGTCTTTAGAGGTGGCTCCATAATTCTCATAGTGATGCAAGAATTTCCCCTTCCTTTTTGTAAAAAAGAACAAAATGATTAATCATAAACTGGCTGATAAAATCCAAAGCAACACATATCATTTAATCATGAACAAACAAAACATTTTCACCAATATAAGATGGACACAAGATATGTGGGATCGATTCCATCATAAACTGGCTGATAAAATCCAAAGCAACACATATCATTTAATCATGAACAAACAAAAAATTTTCACCAATATAAGATGGACACAAGATATGTGGGATCGATTCTGGCTCGCGTTCCTATCACGATCCCATTATTTCCTGTCCTCTCTCTACTCTCTATATAAAAACATGGCCAAAAGTTTGTAAAACAGAAACAGAAGGTTTGTTTAAAGCTATTAGTATTGATTTTTACAAAAACATACTTCAAATCTTGCCTTCTTTCAGAAAGGACATCCTAAACGGGTGAAGTCAATATATATTAGTGCTTATTTTGTCAACATAAATTGCACTAGACAGCTTTGGATATTTGTACCCACACAACAAAGATCCAAGGCATCCAAGACTGCTGCTCGCTTCTTGCTGTCCAAGATAAACATTTTAAATGAGCGTTTGACTCAAAGCTAATTAAGCCATTTGGCCCAGGGCTCTTAGCATAATCAAAGACTTCAGCTAGCAGCCTTTGTGCCCTTACTAATCCATACAACCACAAGCAGACGAGATCACGAATGTATACAGAAATGCTTTTGAACAGAGCAGCATGCGGAAGAAGGCTTCATGCATCGGAAACTCAAGCTTTATCTGCCATCATCTGCTCCCATTCCGTGACTGAAAATAATCTGCAGCAAGTGGGAGCTTAGCCGAGATGCTGGCAATGGACTGTCATTTGAAACTGTCACTAATCAGTTCGAATCCAAAAGCACTGTGGCAACCTAAACAAAGAAATGTAATAATAAAGTGGAAAACTCATGTTCGTCAAACAGAATCATCACTTTAGTGTCAGGCGAAATCTTGATTTTTTGAGTTTTAGTCTCAAGTGAGTTTCAAACGGCAAGAGACCTCAAGCTTAAATGTAGATCTGTTTGCAAGCAGCAGACAATAAAAAATAAAATAAAATAAAATTTTCTATTTTAATTATATCTAAAGAATTATGCTCTCTTTGATCGGAAGACAAATAATGCATTAGTGAAATATTAATTGATTCAGTGCTGAGGTGGGGAGGTGTGGTGTAGTCGTGTAAAGATCTGGCCTTGGGCGGAGGGCCATGTTTAATTAACCTTTTAGTAATTAAAAGAGTTGTGAAATGAAGGAGCACTAAACAGAAGCTAAATGCACACAGCTGCTGCCACAAGTCTATATATACAGGAAAAATGCTCTGGACAAATTGCACCATGCAGAGAATACACATTAAAATTCTCTGATTCATTTAAGATCATAAATCATGCCTTTTGCTGGGGCTATTAGTTCTAGCATGCTACATATAAAAAGCTGCCCCAAAACTGTCTCAGAAATGAATTAATTTTAACCCTTTTAATATGCAAAGATTATTTTGTGGAAGAAACGAGTACTTTTTCAAATAATGCAAATCAATTCTCTGCCTGCAATGCTACATTGTGCAGTGGTCAAGAACATTTTGTATACAAAGTTCAACATTTTTCAACAAATATTTACTAGAATTAACATTTTATGTATTTAAATCTTTGATTAACAGAATGACTGAATAATGAAAGCCTTTAAATAGAATTCTTGGACTTTCATTATTTTTCTTTATCCATTATTTAACAGTATTGTAATACATTTAAAAGTAACACTCCACAAAACTAGTGTTCACTAAGGTGCATTTTCTTATGCTGACATTTCATGTACTTGGACTTTCGAGGAAAAAAAAGGACTGATGAATGCTTCTAGGAAAAGCACTGACATCTCCAAAAAATCTTCAGCCCTTAAAGGAACACTCCACTATTTTTGAAAATAGGCTCATTTTCCAACTCCCCTAGAGTTAAACAGACTGTAGAAGATGTACCATTCTGATCCGTCTTTCCTAGTCTTCTTCAAATTAATGAATTTACAACGCTATGACACTAGTGTTACAATAAAACAGAACTTGCTTAAGAAAAAAGTCAATATCAAGTACTTACAAAATACAACGATTTTGCTGGCAACATAACTTTAAGTTAATATTGCAATGACTTTTTTATTTGGCGATCTAGTTTCCTACAATTAAGTTACATTAAATTTCCTTCCTATTTTGTTGCATAAAATAATTTACTTGGCAACATTGGTATAGATATACACTGTAACATCAAAAGGGCTTTAATATCAATCAGATTTAAAGCTTAGCAATTTAGTCCATTGTATTCGGTTCTTCAAAAGGTGACTTTGTTTGTGTATTCGAGTCAAGAATCAAGACAAACTTACTCAAAGTAGCAGAAGGTTGGGTAGCCCTTGACGCTGAACTCCTGTTTGAGCCCGTCAAACTCCGCCGGGTGCACGTTCATCCCAGCCAACACCTACACAAAAGCAATGAATTAGACTTGAAACAAACAATCCCTGTCTAGCACCTCAAATACAGGAAAATGAAGATGAATGGCCACATCAGAGACTAAACAGAAAGCTTGTCGATACAGATGGCATGCAGCGAAGTGGCACACAGTAAATATCCATCTCTCTCATGACATTGCAAGGTTTGACCTGACATGCTAATCGCCCCCCGAAAGCAATTTCAACTCACTTTGGTTTTGGAGGAAATCTACTTTTAGTGACTACAGCCTCAGTTTACTTTGTGTTTGGACACATCAAAACATGAGGGAACTTCATCCATTTTTATAGCACGTCACATTGCTAAGTTGAAAAAATATAGCTTGTGCCGTTAATTCAAACAAACTGCACCGTTATGACAGTCTATGCTTTATGATGTATTCCAAAATAAATGTATATTATCCTAGAGTAAGTCACAAATCGTCTCCGGTGGCCCGTACACATCCGTCATGCCAATGAAAAATATGCAGACAAACTCTGCTGACCAGCGATTACCTCCGAAATCCATCAATGTTCCTGCAGTGCTATCAGCTTCTCACCACACGTACGTGGAAACTCAGAAACACAGGAGGCAGCAAATCTACACGTCGCGTCTGTACCAGCAAGCTACCCTTTCGTTATGCAAATCTTCAAACGAGCAGCTTATTTACTAGTGCTACTGCAGTTAGAGAAAAATACTGCTTAAATATCCCTCCATATGAAAAGAACAATAATGATAATAACAGTTTACAGTTTATTGATGTTTTTTGTTAATAAATGTTTGTTCAAAATACTATAATTATAGTATGTACAAGTTGAAATGGTAAAAGTTTATTAGTGTACACTACTGTTCACAATTTGGGGTTAGAGAGATTTTTTTTAAAGAAATTAATTGTTTTATTTAGCAAGGACGCATTAAATTGATCAACATCTTTTGTTCTTTTCAACCTTCTATTCATCAATAAAAAATAACCTGTTAAAAAGTCCTGATAAAATGCATCAAGCAACACAACAATAAGAACTATTTCTTAAGCACCAAATCAGCATATTAAAATGATTTCTGAAGGATCATGTGACACTGAGACTGAAGTAATGGATGCTGAAAATTCAGCTTTTTCATCACAGGTAAAAATTACAATTTGAAAAATATTAAAACATAAAAACTATTAAACTATATTAACAAAAAAAATATTTTAAGAATATTTCACAATACTAATATATTTGTATTCATATAAATGTAGCCTTTATTAGATTTTTCAAAAACATAGGGAAAAAAAATCTTACAACCCCAAAAAGTAGTGTATGTATAAATTAACATTAAACTAGATTAATAAATACTGTAAAAGCATTGTTCATTGATAGTTTATGATACCTAACACTTTAAGTAATGTTATCAAATTTAAATGTATTGTAAAGTATTTCCAAAATAGTAATTTTAAAAAAATCTCTCCTGTGGAGTGGTTTTTGTTTATGCAATACATTTTTGAGTTTACCAGTAGATAAAAGAAACAAAAGAACCTTTCCATGGTTTTAGCTGCACAATACTAAGCAATGTTCTCTTGACTTACACAAGCTTCCATGTAGAAAACACTCCCGCTTTGACATGTACAGCGGGGTCTTCTTAAAAAATGTTCAATTTCGATTTGGACCATTTTAGTTTGAATGAAAGTTCAAGCATCTATGTTTGTGCTTCTGTGAACATTCTAAGATGAGAGATGGGGAAAAAGACGGAGGTAGATAAAAAAGAGAGAGAGAGAGAGAGAGAGAAGGACTGAGAGAGAAATATGTGTGGTGAGGTATACTGTGGTTCTCCCAGCAGTGCACAGAGATATTGAGCTGAGCTAGCATATAATCCATAAATCACCATAGACTTCAACAGCAGGAAGTATATCCTATAACTATACTATGAAATCAGCAGAAGGACTTTTAAGCAAAATTGCTTCTTCCTCTAATGAGGGGGAACAAAACGTTTGGTCAAAAAGGCACATCAATGGTTTTCGCAAAAACATCCCACCTGTTAGGTAATTAAATTCAACAACTGAATCAGAAAAATGTATTGAGATACAGTCTAGCAGGGGGAAAAAAAGGAAACAGAGGAATCAATAGGCCATGATTCTGACATGCAAGTAGTGTACTTACAAATTTCCCTTTTGTCTCAGTGGCTGCTTGCTGGAAAATCGGCTGCATCCTTTTACATACACCACACCCTACATGTAGAAGAGATGTTACAGTGTAAGATGCATTAACGAAAAACGTCCAGAGCCTATTGCCACAAATGGAGCAATGTATGAATCACAGCTCACACAGGTGTCACTTTCAAAACCAAGCAGCTTTCTGTAGGTAAATGTGGTGAAACCAAGTGACCAAAGTGGAGCATTGCAAAATCTGTGTGTGAGAATCTTTCGTCCTTACAAGAAATTCATGGTTGCACACATTCCTATTGAAATGACTAGATTTCACAATGATAAATATGATCACACCATGTTTTTTTTTTACAGAAAGGATGCACAATATTACTCAACATTACTATTATGATACCATGTTTAAAGAGTAAATACACCAAAGTTTAAAGGGGTCATATGATGCTTTTTTAAAGATCATTATTTTGTGTATTTGGTGTAACAGAATATGTTGACATGCTTTAATGTTAAAAAAACACATTATTTTTCAAATACTGTACATTATTGTAGGTCCTCTATCTATCGCCTCTGTCAAACGCTTCGTTTTCACTAACTGCTGTTACTGAAACCACGCCTTCTTTCTTTGCACATTTGGGCGGCATTATGCAAATGTTTCCACATAGTGAGGTAGATATGTGGGGTGTGTTAGAACGAGCCGTTTTAGGGGGGCGTGGCAGAGTCTTAAAAAAGAATATCTCTTTGGTTTTAAGACTTTAGTCTTTGCAACTTCAGGGATCTTATCTATGTACAATCAGCTTGTAACACTCCAAAGAGAAAGGAAAACTTGAAATCGCATCATATGACCGCTTTAATACTTACATTATCGTTCAAAAGTTTTGGTTTGAAGATATTTTAATGTTCTTTTTATTGTATCAAAATTACAGTAAAAACTGTAAAATTGTGAAATATTTTTACAATTTAAAATCACTGTTTTTTTCTTTTATGTAATATATTTTAAAATGTAATTTATTCCTGTGATGGCAAAGCTGTCTTCAGTGTCACATGATCCTTCAGAAATCATTCAAAAGTGCTGATTTGGTGCTCAGAAACATTTCTCATGTTAAAACAGTGTTGCTGCGTAATACTTTTGTGAAAACTGTGATACATTTCTTTTCAGGATTCTTTGATGAATATAGAATCCAAAATATAGAATTCAGAATGCATTTAAAATGGAAGTCTTCTGTAGCATTATGACTTACTGTCAATTTTTATCAATTTATTGCATCCTTACTGAATAAAACATATATATATATATATATATATAAATATACATATACATATATATATATATAACTGATACCAAACTTTTAAACTTACACTACCTTTAAGTATTTTATCAAATGAGAAAAGGTAATGGTGATAGTTTTGTTAACCCTATGGCTACACGTTAAGTTTAACCTTAAGAAGCACTTTTCAATGGATAATGTCTGGAGTCTTGGCAGAAAAAAAGTTGGTACTGCCCAGAAGTTCTCTACATTATTCCTTATCTTCAAGACTTAGTATTGCAGTAATGAGCTTTTGGGTTCCTCTGAGCACTACAAGAGGAATTAAGATGAATGAGAAAAGTCTTTGGAAGTTAAACTCTTGTTTATGTCACACTGACAAATGCTGGACATCTTAATGAAATCTCGACTGCATTCACAACCTACATTGATTCAGACACACACAATCACACTTCACAGGATTCGTTTTGCTTGAACATGGCACTTCTTACATGATTGCACACAGTTTGCATCATATGAAGTGTCTAGTAGTGGATGATTACAGACAGAGGTGACTCACATGGGGCGTAAAACATCATGAGGATGGGCCGCTCCTCTCTTTTCAGCAGCTTACGGAAGTCCTGCAAACCAAACAGCATAAATTGAGTTTGTCAAACACTCGGGCTGAGTGGCTATAAACTTTAGAAGAATTTTAGGTGATCTCAGTAAAACCAACAAACAAGGGCAGAGATTTCCTGGCCACTTTCGTTAACATGATATATTGCTTCATTACTTCATTACAAACCAGCACAGTGCTAGTAATCAACTCTCTAAACCACAGAAACAAAAAGAAATGTTAGAAATTACTGAGCTCTTCAAAGATGTTTAAAAGACTTCATTATTAAAAGTGTAGCTGTTGACCGTCATCTGCAGTGTGTGCTTTCTGTTTTGAAAAGAGGCTAATGCTGAACATATTTGACTCAATCTATTTTAAAGTACACAATTTATTTCACTGTCAAGTATATACTACAACATCATGAATCTGTCTTCAGATTTAACTTTTTTCTTTTTCACATACCCAAATGATCAAAAAATTTAAGGCTAGGGCATTTAAGACCACATTTGTTTCTGGACACCCAGTCCAGCTGCCAGATTTAGATTGTTGTCTATTGCAGATTGTTCGGCTACATGTCTTTTGTTCTGTGTAAAGTTCCCAGACCTGATAAATACTCAGCAGAAAACCGATCTTCGCTGCAGTGAGCTTTAGCGAGAGATACTTACCTTCTCTGACTCAATGTGAACAACATCTTTAGCCTCAGGGTTCTCCTCCCACAGGGGGGCACCTGCAGGGTCTTTCAGGAAAGCCACCATGGACTAAAAGAGGTGAGAGAATAGATAGAAACTTTGAAAAGAGACCATTAGAGAGTCATCTTTCACTGTCAAAAAATGGTCAACTCACTGTATGCATTTCATTTTAATAGCGAATCATTGTGAGATCAGAGGTAGGGGCCTATTTGCACAATAGGGTGTAGACTACCATTCAAAAGTTAAATTTGTAAATTTTTTAAAATGAAGTCTCTTATGCTTATACAGTACAGTAAATACAGCAAGACATTTATATTATAAAAGAATATTAAAAAATATGCTCCAGTCTTTAGTGTCACATGATCCTTTAGAAATTATTCTAATATGCTGATTTGGTGCTCAAGAAACATTTATTATTATCAGAAGAATAGACAGGTTCTTCTATTGCAGATTGTTCAGCTACATGTCTTTTGTTCTGTGTAAAGTTCCCAGACCTGATAAATACTCAGCAGAAAACCGATCTTCGCTGCAGTGAGCTTTAGCGAGAGATACTTACCTTCTCTGACTCAATGTGAACAACATCTTTAGCCTCAGGGTTCTCCTCCCACAGGGGGGCACCTGCAGGGTCTTTCAGGAAAGCCACCATGGACTAAAAGAGGTGAGAGAATAGATAGAAACTTTGAAAAGAGACCATTAGAGAGTCATCTTTCACTGTCAAAAAATGGTCAACTCACTGTATGCATTTCATTTTAATAGCGAATCATTGTGAGATCAGAGGTAGGGGCCTATTTGCACAATAGGGTGTAGACTACCATTCAAAAGTTAAATTTGTAAATTTTTTAAAATGAAGTCTCTTATGCTTATACAGTACAGTAAATACAGCAAGACATTTATATTATAAAAGAATATTAAAAAATATGCTCCAGTCTTTAGTGTCACATGATCCTTTAGAAATTATTCTAATATGCTGATTTGGTGCTCAAGAAACATTTATTATTATAATCAATGTTAAAAACTGTTTTGCTGCTTAATATTTTTGTGGAAACTGCGATACATTTTTTCAGCATTCTTTGATGAATAGAAAGTCATTCAAAAGAACAGCATTTATTTGAATACGATTTATAGTAGTTTTTACTGTCACTTTTGATCAGTTTAAATAATCCTGAATAAAAGTATTACTTTCTTTCAAATAAATAAATAAACAAAAACAATCTTACGGACCACAAACGTTCAAACAGTAGTGCAAGTAAACATGCTACTAAAATAATTTTAAAAAAACAACAACAATGGACATATTTCTAAAATATAGTCAGATCTGTATCCAAACTTGCTCTAAGTGTGATCTAACTTGAATATAAAAAAAGTGCAGAGATTGATCACCAATGAAAACCAGTCCTCTCTTGTGCAATTACTCTAATTTATCTCCTAATCTATGCATGCAAGACATTAGGAAATAAGCACTCCCTTGACATGAAGCGCTCAAAGTACGGCTTTACTGCTGTACCAAGGGAAAATGAAGAGCAATATGTGGTACTTAACAGCAGGTGCATTTAATAAGAGCTCCCCATTCTTTCCACACCAGTGGCGCCAGCGAACATGTCCCATCACTGTCTCATCATCCAGCATAGCTCAGCTCATTCATTTTTAACATATTCACATTACAGCTCTCCTCATTCCAGAGTCATTCATCAATGCCTCGTCACATTTGGTCATAATTGAGCCGAAAGGCGTGTGGAGAATGAGATAGGTGAGAGAAACCAATGGGGGACAAGTTTGATTCGTCTACTTATGAACCAAGGGCTTCTGGCTCTAGTGCTTCAGGCTGAGTACTGTGAAATAGCAGCAATGGGAAAACTGGACATCGAGCGAGTAAATAGCAACAGAGTGAATCATCCACTAACAGATGACAGAGTACGCATCCGAAAAGGCACTGACGCCATTTAGTGAAAATGCAGATTGTCAATCCATATGTCTAAGAAAGAAATATTGATGAACTGGGTTCTGGAAGAAGCTTCAAAAATGCTGTGATTTGTGTCAGAGATGACTTCATCAAAATGCAATTTTCTGAGAAATTACCTTAAATGTGGCTGGTCTGTTGTATTCTGTGTGGAAGGTCCCATCCCTAAAAGCAACACAAAACTTAAAGATGAATTGCTGTGCTCATGCTTCTCAGTAATAATAAATTATAATACCTCCAACTACCATTGTTACAGTACATGAATCTCAAAAAAAAAAAAAAAAAAGACTATTCTTACTTATAATGCAAGACCTCGACTCCATTGGTTTTCGAGCTGGGGTCTACCTTGACTTTTTTACAGAGTTTGCGTCCTTCTGAATCCCTGTGGAGGGGAACCAACAGAAAACATATGAATATTCAATCACTTAACAGAATCACATTCAGTAAATAATGCATATAAAACAGTTATTCATGAAATCAGACAAAGTTACAATTGTAATAATTGATTATTATATTATGATGTGTATTAAAAACTACTAGTTAAAATACACACATTTCTTTGATTTTCTTTAATTTTACTTTCTTTAAATTCAAATTACAATATTTAACTTTGTTAGCAAACTCTGAAGGACCTATGAATGGTGCACAACCCTGGTAAAAATGCAAGGAAAACAAAAGTTTAAAGCAGCCATGTTCAGTCAAGTGTCTGCAAGCACAATCAATTAACTTCATACTTTTTGTGCAAACTCAGAGGCGAAAGCGAACATTAAGTCATAGCGAATTATGCTCAACAAATATTATAATCACATTATTCTATTATAACACAAGTCCTCGAAGGACATTTGTCATGCAAATTGATGCAGCCAAAAAGTGAAGTGATACAATTAATGTCCCAAGACATTAAATAAATTGCTGTAGCAGCAATACGAGACCGCTCATGGGAAGCGACAGATGACCACAGCAATAAGCTAATGTAAGGGCCGCTTCTAAGTTTGGCAAACCCTGTCATTCTTCTCTTTTTGAAGGACAAGACATTCAGCTGCTACAGTGTATTATACATAAACTCTGCTGGCTTTAATTCAGAGCCACAGGTCTCTAGATAAGAAGAGTTAAGTGTTTTTTCCATCCCGCTCCACTTTAGCAATTCCTTGCAGCAGAATAGCATGCTTCAAAACGTCCTGCACATTAAAGGGGTCATATGACGCTGCTAAAAAGAACATTATTTTGTGTATTTGGTGTAATGAAATGTGTTTATGCGGTTTAAAGTTAAAAAAACACATTATTTTCCACATACTGTACATTATTGTTTCTCCTGTATGCCCCGCCTTCTGAAACGCGTCGATTTTTACAAAACTCATCGGTCTGAAAAAGCGAGGTGTGCTCTGATTGGCCAACTATCCCGTGCGTTGTGATTGGCCGAATACCTCAACCGTGAGACGGAAATGTTACGCCCCTACCATACTGTGCGTGTTCGAACGAGCCGTTTTAGGGGGGTGTGGCTGACTCTTAACTTTTATAAAGAATATCTCTTTGGATTTGAGACTTTAGTCTTTGCAACTTTACAGATCTTCTTTATGCACCAAGAGCTTGTAACACTCCAAAGAGAAAGGAAAAAATGAAATTGCATCATATGACCCCTTTAAATGGATTTTGTACAAGTATGTGGTACTGGTGATAGGCATTGTGTAGACAGGGCACATTCAACAATGTGCTACACGTTGAATCCCAAGACTCTTTTAAAGCATTAATTCCATGCACTTTATTGTTTTATTTGATATGTTAAATTTTATGTTAAATAATAGTTTACACTTTCTTTTTCTGAGTGTACAGTATGTCTTTATCTCAAGAAGTAAAATCATTATGACTCTTTCTACATGATGAAAAGTAAACAATTTCAGTCCATTTTCACATTTTTTTATGCAAACTGCATTGCAGACCGAATTCATCATGCTCAGCCATTAAACCCTGTTACTCATGTTATTGTAAGAAATTTATGGGAAATAAAAATAACTACAAATACACATTTTTTTGAAGGTTAAAAAACTACTTTCACTGGCCAACTGCTGAAAAAAAAAACATTTTTAGGGGATTTCTGGCCCTGTTTTGTAACCTATTTATGGGAAAGTGCCACAGAGGGATTCAAAAGTCAGTGCTTTCTGAATTCACTGCACAAAAAATGAATGCTCCAGTTCCTGACAAATTCATCTTTGTCATACAGCCAATGACAAAAAATAAAAACAGCAACAAAGCACTCCATCTTCACACTTGCACCTCAACAGATCCTGAGAACAGAAAGGACCCACAATTACCTGGTCCCACTGTCACCGCATATACGCCCACACCCTCCCAAAGAGATCCAGATCTCTCCATTGTAAAGACTCCCCTTCCCTTGAGCGATAATGAGCATGGAAATGTATTACATAAGGACAAATAGGAGAAGCAGAGAGCACTCAGCAGCGATCTAAAGCCCCATGCTAATGGAAATTCAAAGAGATGGAATTCAATTATGCTTCTGACCGAATCTGCACACAACCGGCTCCATTCCTTAAAGGTAGATGAGACGCCATCATTAGCATTATGCATTTCCCACGTAACGCCTTTGTGGGAGGACTGAGAGAGGTGCGGTGGAGATCAGAGCTCAGTCTGTCAGGTGGGAAACTCAATTAGACATGCTGTGTGTCGAACGAGCTGACTCAGGATCACAGATGGCAATGAGCACACATGCGTAGATATGCCCCTTCATACCCTCCCCAGTCCCACGACCCTGTTCGGGACACCAAAATAATTGGTCGTCCTTTTCAAGCTGTTCTAAAGCATGAGAGTCATGGGTCAAGTCAATAAGTTTTGCTTGCAGGGGGTTTGAAAGGGATATCCAAGGGTCAAAATTGCTGAAAGTGGTTAGTGTGTGAGATTGCTGGCTTCAAACAAGTCAAGTGGACAAATTGGGAAGTTGAAAACCAAGTAAAGTTTGAAAAAGTAGCTGTTTTATTTGAACAAGTTTTCATTAAAAATCCAGATGGATTGTTTAGATTCCAGAATTATTTCATTCCCATTTTCTTCATACTGATCTTGCTCTGTCCATGACCTACTTCCTTAATGGTATCCCCCAGTGGACTGCAGCTGGCCATCTCTCAGGTCCCTGTCATCTGTAGAAAACATGTGGGCGTATCTCTGCTTTGGTCTACCACACTGCTGCCTGTGTGGAGTTACTTTTTTTAAACCCAGCTTTATATAAGTTCTTCACATAGGGGACCCAATGTACCCAAGCCAGTCTCAAGAAGGTGCTTTAAGGATTGGCTAGGCTTTTTTGTGTGTGTGTGTGTTTAGGTGCTAACAAGACACAGTTTTCATTGCCTGCAACATCCTACCAATTACCACCTAGCCATTACGAAATGATTCAGAGCCCAGCTTTGATTGCTAATCATTAGAAACATCAAAACAACTTTTGTGATATCTCTTCTCAAAGCAGAGGCAGACAGAAGATGCTGAGCTGTGACATGCATGAGCTGAAAAAGGATGCAATGAAACAAGATAATCCAAGGTAATCACCACAGACACTGATGCAGATACAACCTGTGTACATGAGTTTTAATTGAGGCTTAGGAGATCATATTACGAAGAATCAAAAGGGTTTTTCACACTGCACTTAACCCTGGGTTAAACCCTACTTTCTTTTTGAAATAAAAAAAGTTCAAGGTTCTACATAAACATACTGTTTGACCAGAAACATCATTTCAAGTGCAAAAACACCATCTATAACCCTATTACAGTATTTATTGCGTCACACCTGGTAAAGACAGTATTAGAAATAAAGCAACACCAACAAGTTGATCAGGACATCACCTGCCTCAACTTTAATGGCAAAAAAGTACACTACAGCAGTAAAAGAGTTAAATTGATTGGTACTCACCCACAGTTTACCCAGGCGATGGTACCCTGACCTTTCACAGCCTGAGCCACATCAGACAGCAGCTTTAGTTGAGCACCTCCAGACGAAGCTGAGGACACAAAAAACACATTTAGACAACTGTAGAGAAGACATGTTGTAGAAACCGCAACACCTTTAAATATCATAAGCTTGTACCTAGTTTATGCCAGTGGTCTCTAACATGGCACCTGGTAGCCTGCATGGAGCCTGCATGTCACCTGCAGAGCTCATGCTATAAATAGCCTCAATTAAAATGCTTAATTTCCCATCATTTCTTTTTATAACACATGAAATTACAGAAAGCATTGGAACATTTTACATACAATTAAAATATGATTTTTAATAATTTTATAAGTATATTTTTATGTTTAGCTAGTACATCTGATCTGCATTCTCATAAGATACTAAGCGAGCTATTACTAGTTCAAAGATCTGTGTGTAAGAGTGAGAGAAAATCTGTTTTGACTGGTGTTTACATGAAAGCCTTCATTCTGACTGTGCTATCAGTCAGATTAATAATGGATTATTTAACTGCTTGTAAACAGATATTCTGAGCTAAAATCTTTGCAGGGGAATATATGAATACATACACAAATAGAAAAAAAGTCTACAAATGGCATGTTTTTACATAAAAATATGATTCATTCAAAAGAAATTCAACACTACATTCCATAAGCAGTTCAACATTTCAGGTAAAACAGGAGTACATAAGTGACAGTAAAGATATAATTTTACAAAAGATTTACATTTCAAATAAATGTTGTTATTTTGAACTTTCTATTCATCAAATAATCCTGAAAAAAATGTATAATGGTTTCCACAAGAATATTATGCAGCACATCCATTTTCAACATTGATAATAAGAATTGTTTCATCATATCATCATATATATAATAAACATAATATATTAAAATAAAAATGTTTAATTTCAAAATATTAGTTTTTCCTGTATTTTAGATCAAATACACGCAGCCTTGTCTTTCAAAAACATTTAAAAAATCCAGTAAAGCATAAAAAAAGGGTATTTTAGTCAAAGGGTATTTTAGTCAATTTATCTGAGACTAAAGTTCCTTTATATTTTCTACATACTACTATACAATACATACTACAATATTTGGTGAGTACATGAATCCAGATGTTCATATCTAGTTCCTTTAGTTTGTTTGATTGGTGCAAACTCGAGTTCACATAAAAAAGCAATCTGGTTTGAAAATGAAACCCTATTGATTACATATACATGTTTGTACAATTGCACATCCATCATTTTCTTAAAATGAGTGGCGAGGGATTGCAGCAGTCGTCAGACCAAGCGCAATGTTTACTGGGTGATAAACACATAGGTAGTAGAGCTAAAAGTATTGATCAAATATAAATGAATAAATGATAAAACCCAAAAAGGTGAAGTGGATGTTGTTCTCTATTTTTAAAAGCATTTCTACCAGTAGTACTCGTGTTGATGATGAAAGCATTTGCCAACACACCTCAGTACAAAACAACAGCACACAGTGTGAAAGTAACGTGTTAAAACACAGTGACAGTTTCACTACACCCCAGATTTACACATTTGTGACAGTCTGGGATCATCTACGACACCACTGAACCCACAATCTGCTTTTCTTCCCATTAGTCACATCGGTCAAGGTCAAAAGGACATCGATTTCGCAGTTCTGCCTTGTTTTTCAGTTCGAAATCGAAAGAACGAAGTTTAAACCAGTACTGTTTTGAATGAGAAGTGCCTATGCACCACCTGATCTTGAATGCATTCCTGCAATTTAAAGGACTATCACAGTTAGCAGGATGCTTCTAATGGAAATGCTTCCCAGGATGAGCAGCCACTAGCCAGCCATCAATCAAACGCCCTGTTCGATACACAGTCTTATCCAATGACCTCATGTGCTCGAAATGAGTCGTGAATTATGAAACATATAAATCTTGCATAGCAAGACCTTGAGAGGCTCTTTCCCATGCTTTGTGGGTGGGAGATTGTTTATGGACCGTTCATCCATACGGTACCCATATATGGCGCATTGCCTGCTGGTTCTGCTAATAACACCCAGGAGTGATGCAAATGAATATGCAGTGTTAGGAGGTAGTTCTTTTCTAAAAGCTGGGAGAGAGCGATGCATTAGGGTGTTTAGGAGTTTAGAGTGTTGAAGTTCTTTATCTACTCTGTCTATGGCCATAAGATTTATATTTTCACATCTAATGAGAGTGGTAAGTACAGAATACTCCAAGTGTACTGTACAAAAGGTCAAGTATCTAAAGGCACCAACATGCTTTTGGCAATGAAAGCAAAGCTGACCTACCTATTGTGGCGTGACAGGTCTGTTAGCATATAGCAGAATCATACCTTCTCAATGAATTTCCCCTTAGGGTGTGTAACACATACATTTCTAGCAACGCAAGCTTGATTTTATGCATCACGTTCCGAAATGTGTCATGGTGCAAATCACAATGAATGCACACACTGCATAACCATAAAGTATCTGTTTCTATGGCAAGTTTTCTCTTTCAAGTTAAATACCGTCATGGTGGAACGACAGTTTGAAGAGAATCTTGCTGAGCAAGTTAAAGTCAGCATGTTTATAACTAACACAGGGCTCAAGAGTAAGAAATTCTTGCTGGCCCAGTTGGACCAGTAATTATGATTACTTGTCCAGTCAACATTATCTCTGGTCCCGTTTTATTTTTAGCAATGCACACTACCGTTAAACAGTTTGGGGTCAGTAAGATTTTTTAATATATTTTTATATATTCATTTATTTATTTGTTTTTGATAGATGACTCTTATGCTGCATTTATTTAAGTACAGTAAAAAAATAAAATAAAATAAAACCTGGAATATTGCGAAATATTTTTGCACTTTTTTACATTTTAATATATTTAATATTTTAATATGAAATTACATTTATTCCTGTGAAATCAAAGCTGAATTTCAACAGCCATTACTCCGGTCTTCAGTGTCACATGATCCTTCAGAAACCATTCTAATATGCTGATTTGGCACTCAAGAAACATTTCTCATTATTATTATCAATGTTGAAAACAGATATGCTGCTTAGTATATTTGTGGAAACCATGATACAATTTTTTCCAGAGCTCTTTGATAAATAGACAGTTTTATTTAAAGACAAATGTATTTGACATTTTGACAACATATTCTTTTGTAATATTATAAATGTCTATACTGTCAGTTTTGAATTGAATGCATCCTTGCATATATATATATACATGCATACATACATATTTTGTTCAAAATTTATTTATTCAAAAAAGTATTACCTAAAAAAACTGACCCCAAATCTTAAAAAATGCATGTATTTATTCTAGTGTATTTATACACTATAGTGTATAAGTTTTTTCCTTACAACTTTTGAAAGGTAGTGTTTTTTTTTTTTGTTAGTGTATTTTCTATAATATTGCTTATGTTTTTTGTTGTTTATTTATTCACTTTTTAACGCCATGCCAGCATCAAGGCTATTTTCATGGCGATCTCTGAATAAATGATACAAGTTATGTTTTTTGTTTTCTTTTTTCTTCTACTTCACAAAATGCTTTCAAGAAAAATTGCAGGTCATTTTTTTGCAATTACAAGGCAGTGGACCATCTTTACTGTTGATCCCTGTAGCAACCTGAGTAATAACACATTCGGTTAAATAGCACAGACTTTTGTAGGTAACGTAAAAACATACCTTTTGACCTTAGGGATCACTAAAACACATTTATTGGCAGTTGCATACTAAGACATCTTGGCATTTTTTGGCTGCTAAAGCTGTAATACTTTTAATGCATTTGAAAAACAACAGTGGTGACTGACCTGACTTGGTATACAAGACAAGCACATTAGTTCTGGTCCTCAGAAGTTTCTTGAAATCCTTGTGATCACTGACTTTCTCTATGAGCGGAGACACCTTCGCTGCCTGCAGGGCGGATGACACTGCAACCTGAGGAGGTGAGACAGACAGAGATCATCGTTTTTCACTGTCAAGGCCAAACACCACAGGCGATTCAAAACAATATCCCCAACTGCACGCCAATATAATTGTGGCATTTGTGCAAAAATGACGACAATGTGTCAAACCATGATGACAGAGGAGAAACGACAAACAAGAGCCAGTATACCATAAAGCAGTTACATCACATCAATATATCCATATATCACTCTTTACCGATTGCAAACAACTGGAAAAGAGTTAAGCGAATAGCGGTTGGCCACACAATAGGAACTGCACTACATAAATTCCAAAATAAGACCTTCAAATATAAAATAAAACAAAATAAAATAAAATATTAAATAAAATATAGTTTCTCACAAAAGTGCCCTGAAATAAAAAAATAATAAAATAAAAATTAAATAAAATAAAGTTTCTCACAAAAGTGCCCTGAAATAGCTTCTAATATTGTGCTCTGATGTGAGACTTATGTGTTGCCCTGTGGTGGGAGAGCATGCTCTCTCTGCCACACTCTCCATCAGTCTTCCCAGCAGAGGCATGCGATTCTGAGTTCGGATGGCGCTGAGCCGATAAAGCGACAACAGATAAAGGTGCTGTCATCTAAAGAAGAGGAAAATGACAAGATCAGACAGACCATGTCACAAACTCAGACAGTGACCCAGCCTATCACACGTCCTTATCATCTCCCTATGCCACATGCCTGAAGTGAAAAGACACTACCACAATGAGCAGAAATTAATGCTCAACCGCTAGTGGACAAGATAGATCAAATGTTATTTACAAAATGACATGTTGAAAGAAAACTCATTTGGTCTGTCGGGATGTTTTTTAATAGCTGATCGACAGTCTTTGAGAATGTCTGTAGAGTTTCCATTTCAACAAACCAGATATTGAAGAGAAACTTTTAAAGGTCCCCTGAAATGCTTAGAAACATGCAGCGTTACTCTATGTGTTGACGTCATTTTAACTGAAACAGGAAGACAGGGCGGGACATATCAAGCAGCCCCGCCCCTTTTTAAAATAGCCAATAGCGTTCGTTTATATCACAGCTTCGGCTAGAGCCGTTCAGAGCCGTTGAGCTCCGTAAAGCCGCATTTGACAGGGTATGCCAGCCACAATCTCATCCACATTGCTATAAAATATAGCATTCTGTGTAGAATTAAAATAGCTCCGATACATTTTGTGGTCTGCAGCCGACTCGCGCATGTGATCCGCTCCGTGCTGTCGTGTCTCTGGACCGGAGCAGAGTGTGTGTGCGGTGCGATGGTTAGCGTGACACAGCGCGAAACCAGACTTCTTTTTTTCCTCAATGGAAAGCATATTTACACTGTTTGAATCGTTCCCTGTCCCCTATATAGTGCACTACGTGCCATTCACTGAACAGAAAATACTAATTCTGTGGACAAGTAACCGATTTCAGCCGCGGCTTCAGCGTCTATTTTATAGTGTAGGGGGCGGGCGCTTCGGATTCTAGAGAGCATTTGATTGGACAGAAAGTTTGATGAGAAGCTGAAGTACGATGTGACGTCAAAAAAATCGTAGAGCCGCTTTGGCGGAAGTGACGAACTGAAAGCTTTGAATGCTTATATCTTCTAAATGCAAATTTTGTCACTGTTTTGGAGCACACTGCCTTATAGATAACCTTAAGACTAACATATTGATACTAACACCCAAAAAACTTTAATTTTGATTTCATGAGGACTTTAAAGATAGCAATACACAAGTTACATTTTCTTAATTTTTATGATTGTAAATACAATTTTCCCACATGTGACCTAATCAAACCCACATCTCACTAATGGTGGTGAACTAAAGTGGTTTTATCATGAGGAAACCAAATTAACCTTGAACTTTTGAGATAAGAGCTTGACGTACATTGAAAACACGATAACTTTCAGAACTCAAAACTTCCTCCTCATGCCAAAAAGAGACTAAGCTGCAGTGCACAGACATCTGAATTTATCATCTTCTCCTCTGCATTTCTTCCCAAAGTTTCTTGGCATTAGAAATGAGCAAGTGAATTTCATTTTAAACACATCCACTGATCATTTCAGTCTGATTTTAACAGTATGTGTGGTGCATAGACTGTACATAATCTGTTTGCCATGATGACACTGAATGTCTCTGACAGCCTTTTTAAAGACAAGTAAAAGCTTTAAAACATTCACAACTGGGGCATTACTGATATTATGTCACAGAATAAAATGTGAAAATACCCTGAGCTTGTTTTAACCACAAACCTACAGTAATTTCAGCCATGTTACCAAAAAAAAAATCCCAAAAACCCTACTGACTTCAGGACGATCAATCCGGAAGTGCTAACTCATTTCCAGGGTTTTGGACTACAGAAATATGTCAACCCTGCAGCACTCTATTTTAGCGCAGTGCTCATTCAATATGCAAAGGTGGCATTTCTGAAAGGTGCATCAATTAAACCTAAGCAATTTCATTTTAAGAACCAAATAATGAGTGTAAATAACCTTTTACTAACAGTGTAAGAGGACCTCATTCTCCCTCCTCTCCCTAAAAAGTGGCAAAAACCTTATAAAACACAATACAAAAACCAGAGCGTAGCTGTACATCTGTTGTGTGTGTGCACAAGTCTGTAAAGATTGATTGCCATCATCATTGGAGCGTCACAAGGAAGGGCTGGTGAGAAACACAGGTGCCTTAGCCACTGACAACCTTCATCTTTCTACATGACAAACCAAGACAAGCATCATACTCTCCCTCGTTAAAAATCACACCGCACATTCTCTACAGAGAGACGAGGGCCAGTGGCCTGACTGAATTTATCACTGCACACTCTGTTGAGCAACACCATTACATCTGGACAAATGTTAAATAAACAAAACGTCTCTGTTAGTCTAGCATTATCATATCCCAGACCTTAGCTGGAAACCTCATACAGGCAGAGTTCAAAATTAAAGGTAAAGAAGATAATTTTCTGCACCACTAGTGGCACGAAATGGAATTGTAATATGTTTGAGGAGCCTGATTGTTCCAGATGTAACAACATTAGCTCAATCAATGGTTTGAGTTTGGCCTGGGACTACCTGTTTGTTTAAACAACGGCAGACGCTTGAAACTCGATTTTGAAAGCATTTTTCTCACAATTCCGTTTAGTGGTACAGAAATTAAATACTTCACCTTTAACACTTGCTAAGTACCAAATGACAGTAAAATAGACTTTGGCATGTAAATAAATAAAACTGAGTTCTGAATTGTAGTATGACACTCGTAAATGACGTTGCAAATTGCGTGTTTTGACCAACTTCAGTTTCTCCAGCACTTATTGTGGCAGTACATATAGAATATTGCTTCAATTAAGCCATCAAAAAGAAAACATAGGAAAAGAAATGAATGTGTCTTCATGCTTTTGTGACAGGAGGCATTTCATAGGAGACAGAGATTAGAAAAAAATTATAATAATAAAATAATTCCACTGCCACAGAAAAATATTTATATGAATAGGTAATAGGGCTGCACGATAAATCGAAATGGAATCGAGATCGCGATTCGACAGAAGCTGCGATTGTCATGCGTATATAATATGTCTCCTTTAAACCATATCTCGGCAGCATTTGCATTGCAAAAAGTCTGCACATAGTAAAAATCTGATTGTTTCTCAAACTACCCATCTTTAACACTACAGTTTCGGCACACAGACAACTGCAGCATTCAACTCCATTCAGAGACAAAAGAGTCAGTGTTCTACATCTAGTCCCATCAGGTTTCTATCCCTATTTGGTGTACCACCTATTCTTCAAACGCTCTGTCCAAACCTGACAGTCGACCAATAGAGCGGGCCCATTACTGTCTGGCAATCATCATGTCCTGTACCTGTTACAAAGACTTTCATTTGGCCTTCCCTTAGCAGTGGTGTTCGAAGTGGGCATTATCCTAACAACACCAGTCCTTTCACAAGACGGTGATTGTTATTATCATCCACTGAACAGCTTTGAGAGACAGGCCTGATCGCGTCACGTCGATCAATGTGAAGTGAACAGAACAGGTTGGAAAAAACACATGCTGTGCACCACTATTTCATCTGATGAGCATCTACGGCTCAGGGGAGTGAAAAGAACATGCAGGGAAGGAATGGGGTGATGGAGGAACACATCTTTTTGCATATTCCTAGCTGAATCTCTTGGTTGCTGTGTTTGAAAGAGCTCCTTATGGACTCAACTCAACAGGGATGGTCTGCAAATCATTAACTTGGGAATAAACAAATCTTCAACAGACACATATGACAGATATCAGCAGCATGCAGAAAAATGTAATTCTGAAAATAGAAACATGGTTTTCAGTTTCTTTCAAAACTAATCTCTTAACCCAAAAAGTATTCCGAAAATTACAGAACAGAACTGTGATTTTTTTTTTTCAAATAAAAATCATAATCTCCAAAGTGCTAAAAATAAAGTAATAAAAACTGACAAGGCTAATAGCAGGTTAAAGTATATAGTAGTACATTAAACTCAATAAAAAACATTTTATCTCCCATGTTTGCATTCGTATCAAGATCCCCCCCCCCCATTTTATGTACTGATTTTGTGGGAAAATGTGAAACATTCTCTGGTATGGAATTATTTACACAAAACTATATTTTCAGCAGCCATTACTCGAGTTTAGTGTCACATGATCATTTAGAAATCACTCTAATATGCTGATATAGTGATCAAGAAACATATATTATTACCAGTGTTGAAACAGTACTGCTTAATATGATACCGTAATACATTTTTTCAGGATTCAGTGGCAAGTTTAAAAGAACGGCATTTATTTGAAATATACATTTTTGGTAATGTATATTTACTGTCTTTTGTAAAGTTTTCACTGTCACTTTTGATCAATTGACAGTGTCCTTTGCAACTGAATGTACTATTTTCTCTCTCTCTCTCTCTCAAAAAAAAACAACAACAACCTCAAACCAACAATAAAATAATCCTTATGTCTTCTGAAGGCATACAATAGTTTTTTTTGTGATGAACAGACCAAAATGTATCTCATTTACAGAGAATCTATTTACTCTCAAATCTCATGACCAACTGCAATCACACATATAGATTCAGAATACCAGAATAAAGTACCCAAATTAAATAGACTAATTTATGTACTTTAGCTTAAAGGGATAGTTCATGCAAAAATTAAAATTATGTCATCGTTTACTCATCCTCAATGGTCCCCAATGACTTCCATAGTATGGGGGGGGGGTGGGCACTATGGAAGTCAGTGGGGACCATCAAATGTTTGGTTACCCACATTCTTGAAAATATCTTCTTTTGTGTTCAGCACAAGAAAGACGTTCATACAGGTTTGGAAGAACTTGGGGGTGAGCAATGGATGACAATTTTCTGAATCCTTACAAATCACTATCTACTTCACCTGTAGGAAAGACAGAAGCTCAGACATTCTTCCTAACACAAACGAGAAATTTATCAATGACAAAATTCTAATTTTGGGTCAAACTATTCCTTTAACAACCAAAGACCATTACTGTCCATTTCCAATTCTTCCTTTCCAAAAAAATAAAGAAAACTGCACAAAATGTTTGCAAATCTCTAGTATAGCACAGCATATAATTCCTCAACGATCTAATTATGTCCAGTATGTTGTACTTGACTGTAGTTTATGGATACCAGCGCTCCTGCTATTAATCTTCCTCTCAAGAACACCAGCGGTTCAGCAGTGGACCTTGCTGACATGTTTTGCACAGCATGGGAAACACTTAAACAAAAAATGATCTGCCATACATCAACGCAAAAACATCTTGCTTAATCAGCAGTGGAAGCTGTCATCAAGCATGCACTGCGCAACCGGCATCGCAAATCTGCTTAATAAAAAAAATCTAATTTTCGCTTTTTGGGTCTCACTGATTCAGCATAAACCATACCATTCCTCAAACACACGCCGTCTTCCTGCTGAGCCAAACAAGACGGGGGGCTTCAGCTCTGCATAGCTGACGTAGGTAATTCACAAACAGAAGGAAATGACTCCACAACTGAAACGGTCGATCTATGAGTCAAACGTTCTCACACACTGAGTCGCAATAGTTTACTGTACAGCTAGCCGTCTCCACAGCATCCTGCTGGACCAAGCAGTGTGGGATGGGCTGTGGGGTGCCTGTAATCAAGATTAAGAGATTTTATAAATTGTTCTGACAAGCGGGAGGGCTGGAGGGAAGCACAGATAGCAGAGAGCGGTTTCTCATCCCCCACCCAACCACCACAAAGTCCCATCAGTTCAGGAGAGTACCTTTGTTTGCGGTGGCAGGCGCAAAACAGGATGTGAGACAGGAAAGCTCCTGGGTAATGAGAGTTGACTGACGTGGCAGAGCGGCTATTAGCGTTCGGTGTTGAGGACACGGCCCACATTGATTCACAAATCAGTTGTGGAACAGGGTTGATGCACTTAAACTGAACCAAATGTGGGTTAATTAGTTCCAAACATTACAAGCTCATTTCTATCATGTTCATTAGGAGGAGAACAAGGAAGACAGAGAAGAAAAACAGTCCTGATCAACGTTAAATTACATTGCTACTGTAAATATAAACCACGCCCTAACACAAACTGTAAGATAAAGATAAAATATAATCATGATAGAGAAGTAGAAATAACGGTTGGTTTCACATGCCTTCATATGTCATATTTTGTAAAAATGCAATTTAAAACACAAGTTTGTATTCATGTTGACATAATTTGAAAAACGCTCATATTATTTTAAATAATACTTTTTATTTAATGATTCTATAAGTGTTAAGTGTGATGGTTACTTGATGTAACCAAGTAAAAAATAATAATAATACACGAGAGTACAGATTATTTTCAATAAAGTTTGCAAACATTTGTCAAGGAAAAAGAAATTGATACATGGATATCAACAAGTTTCCTAAGATTTTCTTCATTGGATGTAATCAAAAGGTCAAACATCTGAATTTTTGTTTCTAAAGTTAAAAACTAATAGACACAGTCATGGAGGGCCTAGAAGGTATTTTATGTTTTATGATTTTCTTGTCACAGAGAACAAAACGGCTTCCTGCAGGTTGGTTACACTACATTTTTAATCAGATGGACAAAACTTTCAAATATTAATAGTACAATAATAATAATATTTTATAACAAAATCACTTCACTACTTACTGTTTTTGAAAAAAAAAAATTATGCTGAATATTTTTTCTTGACCAATACTTTTTTAAAAATATATATTTTTGTAAACGAGTTTCAGAAAGTCACACATCACCTAAACATTACATTTTTTTCAACTTTAAGCTCTTCAAAAAGATCTAAATGACTTTTAATTAAGAAATTGACTACTCGTTCATCATAGAACAGGTGCATGGTGTGCACGAATTGAATGTATTTTCACGTATTTTTGAATAGCATTATAGATCTGGACAAAATGAATGAGCATCTCATTACATCATTGACCTAAATAAGACCTTTAAAATAATTCAAGAACATCTCTAACATGATATCAAAGCATACAAAATACATTTTCTATCACCAACATTAGTGAATCCGTTTTGACATTAGATAGTTGCATGGTGAGCATAAGATGTTCACGCATGTGAAGCACAAAGCTGGATGTGTATAAGCACCAAAAACAAGACACGAGAACTGATGAATGAAACGGATTGGTCTGAGTGTCTCTCTCTCTTCTGCTGTCAACTTTGAGCTACTGCTGCAAGAGGGACAGAAGATCATTCCCTTTTCCTTTCGCTTTCGTCTTACGTCAGACAGAAAACATCTGTCCGATATGCGCAATTAACATTATTGATTATATCGATCCATTAGATTCCTTATAAAGACTCACCAATGACAGGAATAAGAACATTTCGATCAGTCTCCTACGACTCCCGTATCGGTTCCAAGAAGCCATGATGCCGCTGCCACGTCTGGCTACGCAAGCGCAATCCATTTTCCTCCAAATCCCTGGAGAACGCAGTGCTTCTTAGGAAATGTAGTTTTTTCGGAATTGTAGTTTGTTGAGGGAGCCGTAAGGCTACTTGTGTTTTGTTCAAATGTGTATGACTTTAGCTCATGTAAATTATTATCAGCCATGCAGATACGGCGAAATAACATTCTATCAAATGGTCCTTGAACGCAGGCTTCAAAACTGAAAGCAATTAGCCTATTTTGGATTAATGAGGTGAGGTGTTCAATGAATGAATTAATTGAGTTAGAGGATGGTTTCAAAATTATTTTCCAGCTCAGTCTATTGAATTGAATGAGCCTCAGTCAAACTGAAAGTTATTGTATTTTGATGTGTTTATTGTATAAAATATAAAGCATTTCTGGCTTTGCAAGCAAATGGCCTGACCATAAAACAACAAGAAGAAGAAAAGATCTGATCATTTATTTAGCTGCCATATACTTGTGAAAGAAAATAAAAGCACAATTATTTAAAATGTATAGAAATTTCATAAAATTATACAATTATTTTAATATATATATATATACACACACACACACTAGCCTATAAAACTCACTATAACCCGTGTGACCTTATTGAACCCATAGCAGATTTTATAAATGTTCTTAATGTTAAATGGTGTAGGAAAAACTAGGGACACAAATGTAAATGCTCTTCAACCATATAGAAATTTCATAAAATTATACAATTATTTTAATATATATATATATATATATACAGTGGGTACGGAAAGTACAGGTGTGAAAAACTTGTTGCATCAAAAAGACTCATGGCTGTATTAGATCAAATGGGTGCTTCTACTAAATACTGAGCAGAGGGTCTGAATACTTAGGACCATGTTATATTTCAGTTTTTCTTTTTTAATATATCTGCAAAAATGTCAACAATTCTGTGTTTTTCTGTCAATATGGGGTGCTGTGTGTACATTAATGAGGAAAAAAAATTAACTTAAATGATTTTAGCAAATGGCTGCAATATAACAAAGAGTGAAAAATTTAAGGGGGTCTGAATACTTTCCGTACCCACTGTACACACACACACACTAGCCTATAAAACTCACTATAACCCGTGTGACCTTATTGAACCCATAGCAGATTTTATAAATGTTCTTAATGTTAAATGGTGTAGGAAAAACTAGGGACACAAATGTAAATGCTCTTCAACCACTGGCAAAAAAAAAAAAAAAAAAAACTTAAAATTGATGAACAGCTCAATAACAATCAGAATAAACCATTCTTTTGCCAAGTAATATCATTTACTATAACTGCAGTCAGTGGTTGCCAAGTAAAGCAATTTATCAGCAGCCTAATTAGAACTGACAGTCAGAAGTATCAGTTTTATACATTTTTATTTCATATTTGACTACTTTATTTTTCAAACAGTTCAAAGTTAGTCCCTCAGTGTTGCTATTTCATTATGTAGACCATATTAATAAGTATTTTCTCATGTTTTCATGCCTCATTACTTAAGGAAGGCACTTAATAATAGGCCTACAGTACCAATTATTATATCATATTTGCAATGTTCGTGCTTATGTGTCAGACACACTGTAGTGCCACCACCTGGATGTGACAGTGGTACCACCACACAACTGTCTTCCCCCAGCTGCTTAATGCATATTGCAACTTGCAGTAAATCCACAGTATGCACTGTCACAGTTTTCAAAAAGAAAAACAACTTTCAAGGGTCAAGCCAAAAGTTTTAAGTTTTTATTTATTTATAAAACATACACTTTAAGTTAATATTGTTGGACAGTTGAAATGTGAATGTTTATATAGGCCTATCTATTTTTTTATTATTATTAGTTTTATTAAGTTAAATCTATAAATCTTAAAAAATATATATATATGCTGGCTATAGGCCAAAAATGATATTCACCTTCTTTAGACATATTTAATAAACATTGAGTAGTCACATTATTAGAATAATTAGATATTACTTATTTCATTCATACTGTAACTCTTTATAAACTCGATAATCTGTATCTAAACTGTCTGGAATGCCCTTTAGTTTGCTCCTTAGCAAAAATTTATAATTTTTAATTTATAAAATTTTAAGGGACAATAGGCTATTTGCCATCTTGAAATGATTTTCTGTCATACTTTTTACCTAAATGTGGGTGCATTTTTCCTAATCATATAAAAACACACTGTCTATTTATGTCAAATACATTAATTGGATCAATTATTTGCCCCATATTTTAAATATTTGGGGGTTTTCTGTCATTTTCAGTGACTTAATTTCTGACGGTGCTTCTAACTACAGTATGTCCAATTTCTTTACTAAAAAGGATGCCCCAAGATAATACCATGTATTTGGTACCATTGTAAACCCATGTGTTTTTGAGCATTCTTTGATAATTCTTTGAAATGCTTTGTAAAAGCCAATGAAAATAGTGTGAATATGGTAATTGTTCAGTACCATGACACATATAGTATCATGCCATTCCCATATAACATGGTACAATGGTACGTCTTGAGTATCATGGTACACCATTGTACAGTTGTACAGTGGTACATTGTGTGAGTTTATTGATTGTGCCACACCAAAACCAAAACATGGTTATATGACACATTGCCACTTTTGGCAACATTGTGAGATCCAAACAGTTAATTAATTGCCATGGTACCTCACTGATTCTAGGGACAGACTATCCAGGCATGATACAGGGGTGTTGATGAATCCCAAAAGACAATGTCTTATTGATCATTTGAAACAGGTTAATAGAAACGTTTCTATTACAGAAATGCATTTAGACTGTAAAAGGAGAGCTTTAAGGGCTAATGCAACCACTGTGCCAAACATGTGAGGTGGAGCTTCGTAACAGAGTTTGCACCCCCATTTGTTTGAATTGCAGCTGCCCTTCTGTAGTAGTCTCCTCTTTCCAGCACAGCGCAGTAAAGCAGCTGCAGGTCGATCGGTGGAAGTCATTCACAGAAAAGGGATACTGCACAGGAGACCTACGCAAAGCGGAGATTGCGGTTTATGCGTTGCGTTTTACGTACGGTAGAGTTTACTCCAGAGAAAGGACATCAGAAGGTAAAAACACTCTCTCAGATATTATTACCTTGCCTTTAAATGTAGTTATTTATAGAAACCGCCTCGAATGTTCTTGGAGTAGGATGATACTGTGAAGTACTTTCTGAACTTCTGCCGTCCAGAGTTCTGCGGCCAGATTATATGCTACTGACTATCAACATTTTAGCGAATCTCTGAGATTTGTTTTTTTATCTGGGAAGAAAATAAATATATAATTTCATTTTTTTTAATTTTCATTAGAAATACAAAGAATTGTCCGATTTCAAAGAATGTTTGTAATAAATATTTGCTAGTGGGTTTGCGTGAACAAGTAGCAATTTTAGTAATTTAGTTGCTTTTTATAATTATTAAAGACTTCTGGTTTTCTAATAAAACCTGGTTTATGGGCACATTTTCTCTCTTTATGGTGATAACAAAACCCTTATTGGGAATGTCATGTTTTTAAACGGTCCTCTTCTCTCAGTTTTATTAAAGAAAGGAAAATGTTCTATATAAACAGTATTCAGTACAGTATACCTTTATCCTGACACGGAATTTACTCGCTGCTCACGTTCTGTTCAGGATCCGAGGAATTTTGCTTTGGAATTGAAACGCTCAGGCTCCCAGTAAAACACTTTATCATCGTTTGGCATTTGAAGGACATATTTTTACTTTTCATCGAGAATAACCTACTTTCGCACAGGATTTGCAAATAAGATTCTCAGAAGAGATAGAGGGAAATATTTAACATCTCTCAGCTACACCTACAGTAGCCTAGGCTATATCGCTATGTTTTCGCGCAACTTTATAAGCCTTAACAGAAAAGCTATTCGTAGGCTATTTTATTTGTTATTTGAAAAGCGTAACCGGTATTTATTTATTTATTTATGTATGTATTATTTATTTAGGCTATTTAACAATCTTGAGTCGCTATGTTTGTGACTGAAGGATAGCTACTGTCAGTCACCTGTCATAGCCTATAGCTATGTGAATGATGGGCAATGGTGATGTTATTCAGAAAGGTAAACAAGACATTTTAATACAGCTTATATTTTTTCATAGGCACATAGGCTACAGTAAAAACAACAACAATAAAGTTTCTTTTATATAGCGCCTTTCTATAACTTAAGCTCGCTTTACAACACAAAACAAAGGCGCCAATGCAGGTAGTCTACAATAAAAAGAGGTAAGACCAATAGGCTATATGGTCAGCAATGTGAATATGTAGGCTACATAGTATCACATCTAATGACAGTTTATTGATTTTTAGGACATGTTGGTGGGCGTTGAACTTATTATTGTGGGTCATATCCGCAAGACATATTTCTTGGCAGTTTTAACTTCTCCATTTTCAGCCTCGCGCATTTTTATAGTGAGCTCAAATCTGTGCTTCGGCTTTGTTAGCTTCGCTAAGTGGCTCAAATTGAATTTCTCTCTGTGATAAAACCCTTAAAAATTTGACTTAATTTTAACTCCACTTTTCTTTTCACTGTCGTTTGAACTGAAATGACTGAATTTGGTTTTGTACATGATGTTCAAGTTATCTTCGCGAACCGGAGCAGGTGTACAGAACATAGATTGCAGCGCTGGTCAAAAACGGTAGGGGGCATTGTCGAGTCTTGAACCAAAGTAGGCTACACTCTCATAAGAGATGGCTGATAGCACACAAACGCCGATGCTAGAGAAGGAAAATCACCTGTTGGCTTGAAACAATCTAAATCAGGGGCGCTATATCTTGGAAACTACCTTCCTGCGGAGCTATCAAACATAGGATGAAGCAACTAGTCAAGGTCTTTTGGTTCACCCTAGCGTTATAAAAACAACTTTAAAACGCTGTAATTTAATGAGAAGCAAACGATTGAGCGGTCCAAATCTGTTCCAGTGCTTTAGATTTCACATTGTTGTGTAAGTAGGGATAAATGATAGATGCATTTGATGTTCCTTTAAGCTAAAATCAAAGAGCTTT